CTGAATAACTAGAGAGCGTATTGAGGATGCAGTGTCTCATTTCGGAAACGATTTCATCAAAGCGTAGTGAAAAATTGTTGAAAACAAGTGAGAAATTAATAAAAACCTATTTTAAAACCGAAACCGATATTTCTTTAGTTTAAAGAAGACTTAAACACAGCTTTATTTGGGCAGCACGCAAGTTTACATATATGGTATATACATATATATATATATAATCTGTCACCTATATCCTATATATATATATAAATGTGTGTAAAGTTAGCTTATGCATATGAAGTCTATCCAGGATGTATTGTTCAGTTTACTTGATTGTTGTTTCTCATTTGTGTGCGAAGACAAGGACTTAATTCAGGTATCGCTGTCGGCCATATCCTTACAACTTCCACTTTTCCTACAGCTAAAGCTGTGACTTTGTTTCAGATCGAGACACGCTCAGTCCATAGAACTGACCCAAACGTCTAGCCTCTCGCCATCCGGCCTCCACTGCCCCATGGACCGTGGAGTAGTAGTGCTCGCTGGAAGCCTCGCCGGCAAACTGCACAATGGGCCTATCACAGCGGCTCTGTTGCCACATATCATCCTCCTCCGCCTCCTTCTCCCTCTCCGGCGTGGTGGCCACCACGGTCAGGGGATAGGCCAACTCCCGAGCTCCAGTGCCCAGCTGCTCGGTCTCCATGGAACGATAGGAATACGAACCCCGGAAGTTCTCGTTTGTGTGCCACGTTGAAGTGCGGAAATTCGAGGGCTCGGGGATTTTCCACTTGAGAAACCTTCGGAATAGATACATGACACCGGCCTGGACCTCATCCACGGGCAGGGTCTCCATATGCCGGCCATTCTCATTGGTGATCCACCCAGCCAGAATTCGCGGCTGATAGCTCACCCGGTAGAAGCCAAAGACGTCCTCCAACCAGGCTCGCGAAGTACCCCTAATGTCATCCAGGTCCTCATCCCGCCAGAGCAGAGTGAAACCCGTCCAGTCCTCGGGCCAAAAAGCCTGAGGAAACTCCACAAAGATCTTGTTGACCGTGCCAAAGGCCAGGCCGTCGATGGCACGCTGCTTTTCCACGGGAAGCTGGGGCTCAAAGAGCCGGAAGTGTTGATCCTTGAGGACGCCCAGGGAAACAGTGACCACCACATGGTCGGCAATGCAGCTGTCCCCATTGCTCAGCTGCAGCTCCACGCGTCCATCGTTTCGGTTCCAGTTGATTTTCTGCACTCGAGTGCCCAGGAGTAGTCGCTGCTCCAGGACACCATTCTCTACCTTTAGTTCGCGGGAGCGCATAAGCAGCTTCAGCAGCTCCACGTAGCCTTTGTCCTTCCAGTTCAACAGGATATCGCCCTCGCACTCCCAGTAGTCCAGATAACCCCTGCCCGAAACCTGTTCCAGCGAGTCCGAGGCCTCCACGGAGTTTTCAAATTTCTGGTAATTAACAAAGAACTCCCTGGCCACCTCGTCATCTATGTCGGAGTTCTCGGGTCGCCGGAGAGTGTCGTAGAACTTGTTGGTCAGGTAGCTGCCCAAGGAGCCACTGCAATGGCGCAGCTCCAACTGACGGGTGACCAGGGAATCGCCAACGATGGCCTTCAGCCGACTGGCCACCTGATCCGGAATCACATCGCCATTGGAACGCACGCACTGATAGTTCTCATACACCGGACCCGTGGACTCCAGCAGCTCCTCCTCCTGCTTGCGGGTCAGCTCGTAGACGATATTATCACGCTCTCCGTGACACCACTGGGCGCCCAGATCAATGACATTGTCCGCAAAGGGAATGGTGTGTATGCGACCGCCCAGGCGATCCTCCGCCTCCACGACAAGCACATTTTGAAAGCCCAGTTCCAGGAGCTTGGTGGCACAGGCCACGCCCGAAGCTCCGGCTCCGATGACAACGATCTTGCGATCCAGATTCTTCCGTTGTGCGCCACTCATTCCGGGTAACTGAATCTGATCTGGAAAAGAAGAAGGGGTGTGCGAGCACAGAAGATATTCAAATTTAATGGCGGGCAGCTTGAGTTTCAGTGGGACGTAGACAATTGAGGATAAACTGGAAGAAATGTATTTAAAACTAAAGAAAAATTTGATTTTTTAAATATTTTCCAGTTTTAGAGATATAAATATAAAGGAATTCATTCGAACTTCGATTTCTTTTTATTTTTTATAATTATTATAATTTTCAACAATTTTTATTAGGCCTTTTTCTTATTATACCCTTGCAGGGTATTATAATTTCAGTCAGAAGTTTGCAACGCAGTGAAGAAAATCAGATTTTATAATACAAAATAATATTTTTCTAAGTTAAGGAATCATTTCCGACCCCATAAACCATATATATTCTTGATCAGCATTAACATGCGAATCTTTCTAGACATGTCCGGAAGAAATCGATTTTTTGGCCATTTTTGAGAAATTTGATAAGGGGTTACATCATTAAAATTAGCAAAAATGACCAAAAATTTTGATTTCTTAAAATTTTAAATTTGGTATGCAGTTTTTTTAAATTATTAAAAACTAACACAAAACTGCTTTCCGAATCGAAATTAATGCATTTTTGGCTTAGTTATGATATATTTTAATTGTTACCTGCAAGGGTATACAAACTTTGGCTGGCCAAAGATAGCTTTCTTTCTTGTTTTTATGCTGCATCAAATTGTGCTTATAATTCTCAAGTGGTTTTTTGTGGCTTTTTAAAGTTATTTCCCTTCTTTTCAACCTTCACCAAAAATTACTTTGTATGACTTTCATGTTTTGTTTATAAAAACAAAACATATGACAAATATGTACAAATAAAATTTACATATATTCTTTTCCGTCACACTTTCACTTTTAAAAGATATACAGCCATATGTACATAAATACACATTATTTAAAAACAATATATAAGAGATATGTAGAACCTACTAATAAACAAACGTTGTGCAATGTACACAAACCATATAGTATATAAGATGTAGAAAAAATTAAAGATTTGGACCTGCAGTCATTGATTTATTTTGTTTATTAAGTTTTACAATTATTCTAAGCTCAAATAAGGTTTAAAAATTTATAGGTAGGCATTTGAAAATAGAGGATAATGTTTAATGGGTTGTAATTTCAATTGAAAGTTAAATAATATATAGTAGAATATTAACTCGACTTAGAAAAAGTTGTAAACATTTTTTCAAAATTAAATATTTAAAGATGAAACAATTTCATATTTTAAACCATTTGTTCAACAGAAAAACGTTTATATATTTTTGTCTTGGAGCATTTTTTAAGTGCATTTGCCCTTTTTTGCTAGTTTTTTTGTCAGTGTCTCCATTAGATATTAGATTGCTTTGTGAAACTGGTGCATTGCAATTCCAGACACTTGAAAATGATCACCCACACACACACACATCCCGGCTCACATAATAACAAAGATGTTTTTGATTAAAAAAAGTAACGGCTTGTTGTGTCCGCTCATCTGTTTCGATAACGAATTCCGACTTGTGATAAGAGCTCCGAAAAAGCTCCCCCAACCAGCCTGCCGCCAGAGCAACACTTTCGACCGAAAGGAAAACACACAGGCACAGTCACAGTCACAAATATGTTCTTCACTCGCTTGGGGCTACATGAATTTATTAATAGCCATTGAGTGGCGAAGGGAGAGGAGAGCTCGGGAAAAGCGGGGGGGATGTGGTGACCCATACCAGGAGGAGTATCTAGCCAACCGGACTAGCTGGTTTTACCTGGAGCTCCTTTTCAAAGTCAGAGGAAGTGGCCGCTGCTCCTCCCCTCCTTTGACGGAAGCGGAGAGCGCAGCATTGATTTTATATTTGGCCAAAAACGTTCAAGGTTTTCGGCGACAGGCGGCAACAAACAAAAATACATAAAAACATTTCAGAGGAAATGGAATTTTCTTTTTTGCTTTTCAATTTTCGGGGATGTTACTAAGGGGGGGTGGGAGGTGTACTTATGCTTTCACTGCCACAGTCACAGTTCACGCCTCAACTCACCAAAAATAACTTGGAAAACCGTTTCAACAATTTAACATTTCAAGCGGACCTTTAGTTTATATTTATTTTTTACTATTTCTTTTTTTTTTGTATTTTAGCAAAACTCCAGCTACGCGGAAAATTCTGACTGCGGTGAAAATGCAAACAAAACTGAAAGCCGAAAAACCGAAAACATCACATGGAAACGTGCTGCTCTGCCCGTGTGCTTATGCTGCGACCATGGGCGTAGTTGAAAATCCCTGTGGGGGTCTATGTGGCATGCAACCCCTTGGTGAGGCCTCTGGCTGCTCTGCGCAGACTGTAAGCTTGTGAAAAGCTCTGAGTAAAAGCACACAGCACAGCTGAGTGGGGTAAAAAATGAGTGGGTTGTCGAGTGGTTAGAAAAATGAGGAGGTTTGACCACCTCCTTGCTTGCCCAAATGCACAGAGAAAAATTTAGATGCCTCGGGATTACAAAGGGAATTTAATTAGAGTCAAAAATAAAGCTCTTTAAAAGAGATCTTCCTTTTATTCATCCCACAACACCTCCCGATTTCGTATAACTTTAAGCATATACTTTTTTCTCTGTGCACTTCAGCTATCCTCCGATCGACCCCTAGAAAGTTTCACACTTTTGTTCTTTGAATGATTCATTTATATTATATATTTACTCAACTGCATACAAGTTTTTTAGCTAGTTTTTGGTTAGAGGAATTTCCTAAGACTCTTCGTTAAATAACTCGTTTGATATTGGTAGGTTCTTTTTTTAATATATATGTAGATATATCCTTCGATGTATGTACAGGTCAGTTGCAGTTTATCCTTTGGCCAAAATCGGGAATGACAGAACTCGGGAGCACTTGTTATACATAAGTAGTTAGTTATCTTTTATTACCCGCCTACATTGACTTTACATGATCATCATCGGTCCGTATAGCTTTGGAATTACACATTATAATTACGGGGTAGAGACCTGGTTTAAAATTTCTTTGTTGTATATATACAGCAAGGGAGTTTACTTGAAATATATATGCTGATAATTTGTTTAAAAATATATATTTGATTTGCTGAATTAAAAACCAAGCCAAGTTTCATAAGTAAAACTAATTTACACTAAAAAAATATATATATAACCGATTTGTGGAACAGAAAACGAAAGCAATTACAAAATAATAAACAAAATTATCACAAACAATAACAGCCCGGATAGGATGAGAATTGCGGCCCACTGTCGTTTATCTGGAAGAGAATATATATATATGAGAAAATTTCAGATAGTCTCGAGGTTTTTCTGGCATTCAGCAGATAATATCGATTGGTTATGGATTAAAAATAATGAAGATAACATTTAAAATAATACATTAACTAATTGTTTTCTTGGTCACAATCCCCAATCGATAATTACCAGCTGGAATTTAAATGAATTAAAACACTCACCATTATTCATGTGCAACACTTTGGCAACTTTCTTCATGGTCGTGTCCAGCTTGGACTCCGTGGACTCAAAGTCATTACCGAAATCATCCAGCATCACCGCCTGCTCGTCCAGCTCAACGCCAATTTGCCGCGATACCGTCTTCAGGGTGCCAATCGAATCGCTGATCATATCCAGTTGCTCATCCTGGCCCTGAATCATGCGCTGCTGTATGGACACCGTTTCGGCCACATACCTATGACTGGGACTGTCCATACCACCGGAATGCTGCGACTGCCCATAGTGACTGGGACTGTCCAAGGCATTCTCAAGCTTGGAGTATTTGGTACCGCTGTGGCGGGAAGCGGCTGCTGCTGCCGCCGACATGGTTCCTGCAATTGTATTGGCCACCACCTGACTGCCACTGTTGATCAGCGAGTTGCCGTTGAGTCCGCTGGGACACTCCACCAAATAGGCGCGATCGTTGCTGGGATGCTGATGATACTCGTTGGAATTCGAGTTCGTATTCGAGCTGGCAATGGCAATGGAGCTGTGATTATGATTGGGGCTGTGGCGATCGTTGTCGAGCAGCGGCTGATGTGCGGTGATGTCTCTGTCCCGGCTACGGTTCAGGCTCATCTTATCCTTCATCTGCTTGACCTCATCGCGGGTGTTGTCGATGAAATGGCGCCGGCTGGAGAGTTCACGATTGTCGATCCGAAATTTGCTTGGATTCTTCTCGACGATGCGTAAGGTTAGGAAAAGGGTTTAAGTTAAGGAAAACCAAAGGAAAGCTGTTGAGAAATTCTACCAGGTACTCAATGCATTGCATAAAGGAAGCGTTTCATATTTCTAATCTAGTTATATTATCCCTATCTTATCGAAAGTATTTTATGGTCAAATAAACTATAATCCTTCAACTTTTTTGTACTAAATGTACTCAATTTCTATTAAAAACTAGCTTTAAAAAACCCCAAAAAGCTTCAGTAATATATCCTGCATTCAATCCATTGGGTACCCAGGTAAGGAATTGATTTTTCAATGGTTTTGTTTTGTCAAAAAGGATATTGATAGTGTCCTCAAGGTCCTCGAGATCCCACTCGATGCTCCGCAGCGAATTACGCAGCTCGGTGGTGGTCCATTCAGCCTCCGTGCCACCGCTCTCGCCCAGCTCCCGCCAACGCAGATACAGGCCGCGGGTTTTGTTCAGAGCTTTGAATACCTCGCTGCAAGAGAAAAACAGAGCAGGCAAAACAGGTGAGAAATGTGTGGGGAAAATGCAAGTAAATATCCAGGAAAACTGCAGTAACTCGTAGCTAGCACCTACTCCTTGACTACGAAAAAGGGATCCTCCAGAGACATGCCGTGCTAGCTGCTTCTTGGCCCCCCCGAAACGAAATGAACACTCCTTTCCTCTTAGCGCTTTCTCTTGAGCGTGGCGCACTTGAAAGTTATTTTCATGGATTTTTCCGGGCGAAAATCAACCCCAAAGTCCAACGATGCGTGGAAAATGCAAGTGGAAAATTCCAGCGTTTTTTTGGGGAGTTCTCAATAGATTTCGGGGGGAATTTATGTTTTCCCAGTGAGGTATTTTTATAATAGCAGGAATTTCACAATCAACTGGGTTTTATCTTTGGCTGGAAGTGAAGTTTGCACAGCACACGTTTATTGATTATTGCACTAAGCGACGGACCCGCCGCTTATCGCCCCGATTCCTCCCCGTAGATATATTCCGCCGGATTGCTCCGATTCCGCTGATTCCGCCGATGGCACAGAGAACACTGCCGTAATTCGCGCTCCGGAGACGCAAAATTCCCCCTTCATGTGAAAGAACGTAATCATTTGTTTACGCCGCTCTCGCGCCTGCGCCTGTGCCCCATAATCCCCGTTCAACCCTAAAAACTAAACCATTTCTTTTTGGGGGAAACAACCTGCAAAAACTACCCGAAAAAATGACCCAGAGATTCCAAAACAAGAAAAATGGGCCAAAATGCCAGCACTGCTGTCCATAGCACTTACCTGCTGCTCGTCTCCACCTCATTTAGCAAGCTGCGACCCACGAACACGATGGCACTTTCTGAATTTCAATTGATAACTTAATTTTAACTTGTCGTTTGCTTAAATTTTGTCTTTTTCTTTATTTGTTTTGGTTTGTTTTGCTGTTTTTTTTCTGCCAAAAACAACTGACAGATGTGGTATGACCTAACGCCTGGAGTAAAAACGCGCTAGTGCATTTTGGTTTGCACCCCAGATTCTGGTATATACCGCATGTCCAAAAAACCGTTACATTTGTGATTTTTAAAAAGGAGGCTGCGTTGGTGAAAGACAAATTTCTTAAATATATTGTTAAAAAAGTAATTTTATGTCTATTAGCTTAAGGATTTTAGCTTCTATAATTACTTAAAGAAAAGTTTCTTAATAAAATAAAAATATATAATAAATTGTACAATCGTTAAAGCTGTTCATTTCTATTAAAAGTTTTTAAAAAATTCTTAAACACGAACAAAAATTGTAATATTTTAATTTAAGTAACACAGCTCCTAAAAAGCTAAGCCTATTTTATAAATACAATAAAAATATATAACAGAAATAAACAATTCTTTTCATAATGATAAATTTCTATTACATATTTTTATTCAAGTTTTCTTTTTCTAAATTTGTCGACTTATAAAATTTCTAAAAACTTTTAAAACCCACATCTAGTGTGCCCAGATGTTGCACATTTTCCATAGTATTTGTGTTGTCGTGCACAGCCACACTGCTCACCTGTCCGGTGTCCGTTTCATTTTGTCCCGCTATCAATTGAGTTTGAAAAGTGACAGCAAAATGTTGCAAAACGACGCGGTGCGCACTTTACAATATGATAGTGAGATTCGGGTGGCCCAGCAGCCGAATCCCACAGAACCAAGAGGTAAATAAATCTATTTAGATTCTGGAAAAGAAAGAAAATACAAGTGATTCACCTGCGGACAATGGCAACTAACCTGTGTTACCCACTGATAACGATTGCACCGGATTAATTATTATTGGCAGAGAGAGTGTGTCACAGTTCGACGCCAATGTGTGGCCCACAAGTTGGCTATATCTTATCGGCTGGTTGGTATTCTGTTGTGGTCCCGGGACACTTCAAGTGCCTTTGTTTTGGGAGCAATCGAACCGACCTTACATACTATAAGCCATAAAGAAAAACTTATCAGGATTGAAAGTTTGTGTTTTATTATTTCCAAGAAATAATAAAAAAAAGTTAAGGAAACGGAAAGTTAGATCTAGTTTAATTTTTATATTTCATTTAACTTTCAACATTTTATCAGAAAAAAAAGAATAAAGATATAGGGTAACATTTTTAAAGTAATGTGTTTTATTGACATTTTTTTATATATATTTTACAATCGAAGAGTTCAAGCCAATAGATAATGTTCAAGCAAGGGGAAAACCCATTAAAGTTTGACTCGATTCTTCAGAAGAATTTCGAAATATGCCAAATAGAATCAGTTTATAAGCTTATTTTACTCACCTTATATGAAACTGCTTCCCTGATTACTTTCAGTTTACGACTCCCACATCAGCATTACCTCACAGCCCCGCCCGGAGGCTCCCCGCATACCCCTGCCAGTACCCATAGCCACGGTGACAGGAAGCCGAACGTTTATACCCCTTTCTGGATACGAATGCCTGGCGGATCTGCCTTCGGTACACATCGAACAGACCTTTGAGCTGAATGAGGGTAACTACAATCCTTAAAAAACAACCTCTATAACCCAGTTCCTAAATACGCTTATTCCCTTTACAGCCCTCACAGGCGTTTCCTCGGAGAATCGCTATGTGGTGCGATCGCCACTGGGCGATGCCATCTTTGCGGCCAGCGAGAGTTCCACGGAGAAGAATCGACTTCTCTGGGGAGCCGGAAGACCTTTTCAGATGCACCTGCTGGACAAAACCCACCAGGAGGCTCTGGTTTTCCGCAAAAAACTGGCCCTAGGATCGCTCTGCTGCCAGCCTAAGAGCCTGGAGATTTGGATACCGCCGGGCAATGTGCTCGGCCGTGTGGTGCAGTCGCCTACCTTCACGCAGCCAGAGTTCTTTATCGAGGACGGAAACACCGGTCAACCTGTGTTCTGTGTAGAGGGTCCTGCCAACTCCGGGTTCTGTTGCTTCTGCCTGCCCAGGGAGAGCTACTTTAAGATCAATTCCGGTGGCAATATGAGAGCCTCCATCGACCACAAGTGGGTGGCCAGCAAGTCTCAGTACACCACAAATATATACTTTAGCGATGCCAAGCTTACGTCCAAGGAGCGGGCTTTAATACTGGGTTCAGCCTTTCTACTGGTAAGCAGTTCCCCTTTTACTAAAATTAATTAATTAATTAATTAATCTTTTGCAGGAATATCTGTACTTCCAAACCCGGTTCTGAGCCAAAAACTTTAATAAAATGTTATTTTGTATATTCACATTGATTTCTTTATTTTTTGTCATTTTTTTGTATAAGTTTTCTTTCATTTTTGTTTTGTGTTGTTTTTTTTTCAGTTTTTTGATATATTTTACAATAATGTAATAGATCACTTCATTTTCGCATACATATACCTTCAAATATATATAGTATATAGATATATATATCTATATGTGTAGATAGACGTTTGCTGCGGCTCATGCCGTAGCAGTTTTGTACAATAATTTTCATTTATATCTATCAACTTTGTGTAGTTTTTTTTGTTTTACTTTTTTACCTAACCTACCGCTTAATGCATATATGACAACATATTGATTATTTACAGTTAGCTATATATTTCTTCATCATCATTTCGTTTCTCTTCTGCCAAAAAAATACAAAATCAAAACAAAAACAATTGAAAAGAGTCTCGTGGTCTCGTCGTTTTCAAAAATTAAAACAAAACTAGGGGCGCATACACATCGTACATCGTACATTGTACATCATACATTATACATCATTCACCGCTTTCAGTTGTTCGTAATAACAATTTGAAATAATAAGGAAGAACTACGTGATTTGCAGAGGATGTGGATTTTGATTTGGATTTGGGCTTGAAAATAAACCAATTTTGAGTTCATTTTCGGATTCATTTTGGGTTCATTTTAGTTTCATTTCAGGGCTAGGCCTTAAAAATTATACAATTCTCTCGCTGACTTTGTTCACATTTTGTAGATAGGATGTGGATTTGGATTTGGGCTTGAAAATAAACCAATAATGTACTCGTTGCAATTTCGAGTTCATTTTCGATTCATTTCAGGGCTAGGCCTTATAAATTATACACTTCTATCGCTCTTTCCAGCTCTCTTGTTCACATTTTGTAGATAGACTCACAGCACTTCAGGAGTTTTTTGCATTTACATGCATTTTCGAAAACAAGTTACGGTTACATGTATATAATATATATATATAGATCTGCATGTGCTTGTTGGTTGGGGTTGGCTTATACATATTCGGGTTGGAACCGCCAAACTGACTTGCGATTCCTTTAACTAAATACTTAAGAGACACAGATCGAAGCGAAGGGAACTTATTCTTTCTGGGTAATTCCCCTCTTCAGAGTGTTTACACTGGAATAGCTGACTCGCTTATCTGGCTCTCCTATCGCTCGATTACGATCCGAGAGGTGGGTGCTTATAGGCTAGCTCTAGAGTTAGTTGTGTGTGTGTGTGTGTGTGTTGTGCCCAAATGCGATATGCTTAGACATTTGATATGCGCTCGTTGGAGGTGCTGGTGGTTTGGTCAGGGCGACCCTCGCTCCTGCGATTGTAGCTGGTGTCCAGATGGTAGACCGCCGGATGATACTGATACCCTCAGCTGGGTTGCAGCATGTACATGTACTGTCAGTTGCTAGCCGCCGCTGCTGAAGCAGCAACGGGAACAGCAACCGGTAGATCCTGGCTGGAACGAGCACGCTTCTCGCCGCCATTGCCCTCGGTTGGATTATCGCTCTCCTCACCCGTGCTACTGAAACTGCCGGGCAAACGGCGCTTCAGGTTGTGATTCAGGCCATTGGCCACAGTTTCGTCTTCGGACATTGAGCTGGCCCGCTTCGGTGTATTGCCGGCACTGTCATTGTCCAAGGAAGCAATGGCCGAGGCTATGGCCACAGCAGCACTAAAACCGTCTTCGGAGGCACTATCCTGCGAGGCAGGATTCGTCGGATCCTGGGCCAGCTGCATCATGCCGGACGGTGTGGTATAGCCGCTCAGTTTATTGGGATCCTTCTCCAAAAGCTTTTGGGCCAGCAACTTCAGAGATATCAAGGAGTTCTCACAGTCACTGGTATCGATCTCGGTGAGACTAATGCCAGCGCGTTCGATCTCGGCATAGGTGCCAAACGGCAGCTTTTGTAGACACTCCAGCTTCTGGACATGCGTCTTCGAGCGCAGATGCTTGGCCAAGTGGCCGTGGATGCGGAAGGCGATCTTGCAGTCGGTGCACTCAAAGGGTCGTGGATTGGAGGTGGTGGGAACGCCGAATGTCGAGGTCATCATCACCTTGTTTTTGTGCGCCTCGGAACGTTCGTGCTTCTGCAGATGTCCCTGCGTGCGGAAGGAGATGCTGCATGGCTCGCACTTGAACTTGCGCTCCATGTAGTGGATGTTCATGTGCAGGGTCAACTGATGCTGGCGCTGGAAGGTCTTAGCGCAGATGGAGCAGGTGGGCCGGACATCGCTGGCAATTGGAGCTGGAACTGGCACTGCTCGGCCGTAGGATACATGTTGCTGGAGATCACTGCTCTTGCTGCTGGGCGTGGAGTTCTTGAAACCATCCTCGCCCACAATCACAGTACGCTGCGTGGGCTGAGTCGTGTTCGTCGAGGATACGGCCACGGAAGCAGGTGTAGATGTGGTCACAGTGGCTGCTCCTCCAGACTGTGAAAGCCCCAGGACTCCACTGAAATCATTGGCATCCTTCTGCTGCACTGCAGCTGGCAGATTGGCATTATGTGGCTCTGCCATAGGCTTCTCCTGATCCGATTCTTCACTTTCCTCCTGGATGGTCTTCACAGGAACGGGAGTGGGTGTGCGCGTGGGTGTGAGGGTAGGCGTTGGAGTTGGTGGAGCAACCACAGGAGGTATGGGTGGCAGATCCACAGCCTCTGGCGTCTTTACCTCATGGACTTCGATACTTGGCACCTCATTAATGGTCATAATGGGTCGGCTACTAGTGGTCAACAGGTTGCCACTGCTACTCATCACCGTGGAGGCCGTGGAGAACAAAGTGTTGATTAAGTAGCTGCCACTGAACTGACTCTGCTTCCGCTTGGCATGATGCAGAGCCTGCTCCTTGATATAGGTCTGCAACAGAACATCCTCTCCCTCGGCCTCGTGCTTGGCCTGCTCCTCCATTTCGGCGGAGATGCGCACCTTATCCGAGACAGAGATCAAGGTCTTCATGAAGCCGCTCTCATTGCCAGAGCTTCCGAAGATCACATCGTGCATTTGCTGGGCCTGCGACTTTGGCAAATCCTGAACGGGCGGCGGCGGCACTGGCATTGGCGATGGCGAGACCGCGGCTGACATGGAGCCGCGCGGCTTGGTCAGATCCATGGGAGCGCTCTCCTCACTGGCCACGCTGCGCTTTGGCTTGGACTCCTCCGGATTAGAGTAATACTGTTCCTGCTTCTGATAGTCGAACGGTGGCTTTGGCGAGGTAAATGAGCACACCAAACGCTTGGGCAATGAGCCCGAGGATCCGATGCTGTTCGCGGGACTGGCGGCGGGCAGAGGTGTATCCTGCAGCATTTGGGGATAGGGCGACACACTCTGTGGAATGGGCGGCGTCATCGATAGCGACAGCAGGCACCTGGCTGCCTCGTGCTCCTTCAACCGGGACTTGGACTCGTCTGTGTCTGAGGGAAGATAGGGATTTAGTCTTATTTATAAAGGACTTTGTATTCCTTGTTGTACTTACCACTACTCTCCGATTCATTGTCGCTGTAATCATCCGAATCAGACTCTCCCGCCATTGAGGATGTGCGTCCTCCTGCCGAGGTCGACGACTGCTGATCAAAGTCCATGTCCACATCCAGGAACTCGCCATCGGCTGGCATGGGTCCTGGGTTAATGCCCAGTTCGATGCACTTCTTAAAGTGGGTCTTGGACTGCATATGCTTGGTCAGGTTGCCCTTGGTCTTGAAGCTGCAAAGAGAAGATTGGACTTTAGAATAATACTCAAAAGGGAATATCTCTCTTCAAAAAACTCACCTAAAGTTGCAGTGACTGCAGGTGAACGGCCTCACGTCGGTGTGGGTGCGAATGTGCTTCTTCAGCATCGAGGGCTTCTTGCAGCGGATTCCACACTCTGAGCACACATATCGGCCACGTCCCCGGCCCCGGATATAGGTGTAATCCTCGTGCGATTCGTAGCCACCAACCAGAGGCTGTCCCGAGGGACTGGTCTCCAGCTTCTTGGCCTGCGCCGCCTCCTCCTCTTCGTTCGCCTTGGCCGCCACATTGGCCTCGCTCAAAACCGACACAGTGACAGCTGATGACGACGTCTTAAGCTGATTCTGATAAAAGGCACTGGCACTGGCACTGACCAAGGTGGATGTGGAGCACACTGTTTGCTGTGAGGAGACCACATTGTAGCTCAGTTTCCCCAAACCAGCCATGGCGGTGGAACTGCCATTACCCAGCAACCTTTGCCGGGAATCGTACAGCGACATCACCTTCTTCAGCTTGAAACCCAGGGGATGCGGTTGGTTCTCCTCGCACACCTGCCACACGCTGTACATCGACAGCTTGTGCATTCCTGCCACATACGAGGGCTGCGGACAGTTGACCGTGCAATAGAACATCTTGGTGCTGCACTTGAGACCCAGGTAGGTGTAGGCATGGCCATTAAGGTATAGTTGCACACAGGACTTGGAAGGACGCGGGGTCTCTGGCGAGATTAGTGGCAAAGTGTTGGCCGTGGGCGTAATCCCATGATGACGCTTTGGCGTAAATGTGCCCGGCTTTAGTGGCAAACTGGTGGGTCGCAGGAACTTTGATTTGGCTGAGGTACTTTGACCAGCCGCCTCCTCTGTGGCACCCCCATTGGGCGTCTCAACGTGGAGAGGTGTCAGCGGCGATGACTCTTGCTGTTTCCCAGCAATCACATTGTCAAGATTAAAGTGTCGCACTTCCGGTTCCGTGGTTGCCTTGACGTTATCCGCCATTCGCAGAAAGTTAAATGGGGCCTTTTTCGGAGTCGTCTCCTTGCTGTTCCACTGCAGCGCCTGCCGTTGGGCAGGAGTCGGTGGCTGGCGGCTGAATTCGCTGGGCAAATTCTGAACTCCGCCAAAGGGCGACAGAGCCTTCAGTTCACCAGCTGTTCCCATTAGCAGTGGACTGGGTTGCTTGCGATTTGGGCTACGTCCACGACCCGAAGGAACCGGCAACTGCAGCTGCTGTGGCGGCGGCGGCAGCAATGGCATTTGCGGCGTCAGACTTCCTGGCCCTGGAATCCCTGGCACATAGGGAATGGGCGTTACGGGAGTGGTTTTATCGCCTCCAGCGCTCATCGGCGGCAATGTAAGCGGATTGAAGGCAGTTATCGAGTTGATGGGCGGAAACTGAAAGTGCTGTGGACCGGAGCTAACGCCAAGCAATCCACTGCCACTGATCAAGGCCATGCGTTTGCGCTCCTTGCTTGATCCTGCATCGTTTACCTTGGCCGACACCTCCTGGAAGCTTCCACCGGATAACAATGGTGTACGTATCATCTTGGGACTGTTTTCCAAGTCGGGGCATTCCGAAATGGGAATCATTGTGCCACCTGACGATGTAAACCTGCGTAGGCGCTCCTCTTTGATGGGCTGCGGCTCTGGCAGGCTATTGTTGTTATTGTGGTTGGTAAAGGGAAAGGAGAAGCCTTGCGAGGAGGAGGAGGAGGATGTAGAGGCAGCCAGATCGCTAGTCTTCACACGCTTGGCATGCGGAGCCTCTATATCCAAGCTGGCAAACTGGCGATCTTCGTGCATTTTTGTTATGACCACCGAATCCTGAGCCTTGCGTGGGGCATTCTGCTGGGCATAATCCACCAAAGGCGTCTTGCCAAGCAGGGGACCTGGCGATGGCAGTGGTGCATCCACAAAGCGCAGACTCTCAAGGGGCAGTTGTGGCGCGGGAATTGGTGCCGGTGCGGAAGTAGGAGCTGCGGCAGGAGCACTTGCTGTGGTGGCTGTCACAGTTGACGTTCTCGCTGGCGTCTGCGCTGCATTCAAGCGACTCGCCACCAGACTGCTACGCTTGGTCTTAAGCTGCGACCAGGCCAACTTGGCCAGTGATAGCGGATTCTTCGAGTTGGCCATGTGACTCTTCAGCTCCGGCAGACTTAACGAGATCGAGTTGGAGCGGAAGGGCGACGAGGCTGGACTCATTGGTGCACTGGAGCTCGCATCCTGGCAGTAGGTGCTGTTGTGTAGCTTCAGATCGTCCGCACTGCGGAATTCACTGGCACAGATCGGGCACGAGTAAACGGCATCGTCTCCCTCGCCAATTGGGACCGCCAAGCCTCGTGCATTCAACAGCAGGTTCTTGATGATTGAATTATTAATTTGCCCAGCTGGCGGTGCCGCCTTGGAGCTAGTAGACGAAGTTCCTGAAGTGGTGGGCGTGGCTGGCACAGAACTGTTCGACAATGAGCTTACGGGCACTGTAATCACGGCGGGCTTTGGCTTCGCTGACAAGTTCAAAGGCATCACATGCACACCCGTGGCCGGTTGGTCCATTTTAGCCACTGGCGTTGCAGGATCCTGGCGATATTGCATGGTCTGCATGGGCAGCGGTGAGGGTGGCGGCGGCAGCTGTTGCTGTTGCTGCTTGACAGGTGCCGGTGGGATTGATGCTGGCTTATGGCTATTCCGCTTAATTAAACCATTTGGCGGCTCTAGCAGTTGTTGCTGTGGTTGCTGCTGCAGCTGGCTCTCCTGCTGCTGCTGTTGCTGTTGAAGTGCGTACATATAGTGCTGTTGCTCAAGCGCCGATTGCTGCTGCAGTTGCTGTTGCTGCTGCTGAAGTTGATGCTGTTGCTGCTGCAGCTGTTGTTGTTGCTGCTGCTGCTGCTGTTGCTGCTGCTGTTTCTGGACTATGGCCTGTGCCAAATTCACCTTAGTCTCCCGCTCAGGCATCTGTGCACTCATGTTGTGGCTGCTGTTGTTGTTCGCATGCAATGCCGCCGCCGCATTGGCCGCATTGTTCGTGCTGTTGTTGGCATTGTTGAAGCTACGGGAACGATTCAGCTGCTTGGGATACTTCTTCTGCAGCAGAATCTCCTTGTTTTCCACTATAGCCTCGTTTTGTGAGATCAACTTGGATATATGCTCCTGCACCTTGGCCACATTCTAAAGGGAGATTTTCAATAAATATTAGTCTAGGAATTCAATAACAAAAAACTCTTCAAAAATCACTTACCACTTGCATGCTGCCACTGGAGCTGGCAAAAGTGCTGAGATTGGCGGCAGCAGCAGGCGTGGGCGTGGCAGGGGCTGGTGTGACATTGGAAACCTGACTGTTGGCTCGCACCAGCTATACAAATATAAAAATAATTTAATTATTAAAAAAATATTTCTAAAAAGTGTAAAGGATTAAAAAAAACTAACCTGTTGAGGCGGAAGACTTGGTGGCTGCTGTATTGGCGTTGGTGCCTTTACCAAAGGAGAGTGTTGCTGCTGCTGCTGCTGTTGTTGTTGCTGCTGCTGATGCGCCAGGTGGATCTGTTGCAGTTGCAATTGCTGGAAGACCAGTGCATTGTGATGAATGGCCGCCGCCGTTGGATCTTGGTTATAATAAGGAGACTGTCCCAGGTAATAGACTCCGGCCGGTGGCACTGGCGGCATGGAGGCCAAAAGGCTTTGCTGGGCATGCAATTGGTGTTGCAGCTGCATTTGAAGCTGGTGCGAGTTAATGTGGTTCTTCATTTTCATCTGTGTGCTAGGCGAGAGCGTGGGATGTGCTAGCGATGGCTGCTGCTGTACCAATGGCAGCTGAATGGATAGCTTCTGCTGGGCCAATTGCTGGTGTTGCTGCTGCTGCTGTTGTTGTTGCTGTTGCAACTGCAACTGTTGCTGCTGCTGCTGCTGCTCCTTGCTACTGCCTGGGGCATACAAGGAGGCATTGTGGAACTTGGGCTTATATGGCTTGTAGTCAATGGACTGACGATGCTGGGCAGTGGCCGAATGGAGATTGTCCGCTGTTGTGGGCGGCAAGGTGCCAGCAGCCGGCGAGCCCAGCGGCAATTGTTGCATATGCTGCGGGAGTGGCGGCGGCTGCTGGATGTAGGCGCTCTTGGCCGCCGACAGCGTGGAAGGTGAGGGTGTGGGCGAACTCATGGGCTCATCGTATGGCGAACCAGCGCGACTTGGCTGCAAAAAATCAAAATAATTCAGGGAAACCTTTTATACATTTCTTTTTAACTTACCAATTCCGAACTACTGTTGCTTAGCTCAGCATCCTGATCGGACAGCCCATCGTCGGCATCCGCAGGCACTTCCAAACCCCTGGCTCTTGCCGCATGCGACCGGGAGCGACAGTGCTTGTACAGATTGCTCTTGGTCTTAAAGGCAATGCCGCAGGTGTCACAGGGATATGGCCGTTCGTTGGTGTGGGCCCGTATATGCTTCTCCAGCACCGAGGGCTTGGCACAAATCAGATTGCAGTATGGACACACATAGCGTCCGGCCTTCTCGCCGGCTGCTGCTAATGCTGCTCCACTACCTCCGCCTCCGCCTGGTATCCCACCTCCGCCTGCAATCCCGGCTCCTCCCGCTGTTGGCTGCGTCAGTTGCTGATGCTGGGCAAAGGTTGCCGGCGACAGTGTGGCATTCGCCGCATAGTTACTGCTGCTGATGCTGCTGTTAGTCAGCGGCGTTCGCGTTCTCGCATTCAACGCGGCTTTGTGGCTATTGCTCTCCTCATGACCAATGGCATTGACATGATTGCTATTTACAAAATTGGCACTGAATTCATGTGTGGTGGTGGTGGTGGTGGTGGCGATGGCAGCGGTCGGCGGTCTATTTTGCTGCTGAGGCTGAGGCTGCGCCGGTAGCTGTTGGGTCAAATGGTGACCATTGGTGACCATCGCTGCAGGCGGTGGAGGTGACAGTGAGCTATTTGAGGACAGCGATGTGGTGCGCATACCGGCATCAGCGGAGGTCAAGTGGCCACCGTTCGCCGTCGCATTCCCGCTCTCGACATCTGTGGTGCTGGCCAAGCGCTTAAACTTCTTGTGAAGATACCGTTGAATATTGCTGGACCAATCCCCGAGGGCGGGTCCATCGGTGGCGGGCGTATTGTTGATGTTATGGTTGTTCGTGGCGATGGCCACTGGCTCCTTGCTGCTATTGGTGGCGCTGTTGCTGCTGCTGTTGACTGCTGCCATTTGTTGTAGCGTCATTTTGCTATCACTTAGATTTGCTTTATCTTTACTACACTTAAATTCATAATTATTCTCACTAATACTATTATCACTGTGGTGGTTGTTGTTGTTGGTATTATTATTATTATTATTATTGTTGTTGCTGATGATGTGGTTGCTGCTGTCGACGACAGTTGGCAGCGGCAACTCGCTCAGTTTATCTCGTGTACTTGTACTGGGTTTGCTATTGCTAGTAGCAACATCTGTTGCTGCTGCTGCTGCTGCTTTGGAGGCTGTTGACGTTGGAGCTGGTGCTGCTACTGTTGCATTTGTCGCTGCTGCTGCTGCTGCTGCAAGTTTGTTAGCTTTGTTTGTTGCTCTCTGGGTGACTGTTGCAGTTTCCCGATATGTTTGCTTCTTTGTTGATGTGACGTTTGTTGCTGTTACTGCTGTTGCTGCTGCTGCTGCCGCCGCTGCTGCTGCTGCTGTGGCACGTCGCGTATTGTTCACTTTATTGGTCTTGTAATGTTTGCCTGCGGTCTTGTAATGCTTGGCCGTTGTGGTGCTTGCATTTTCCATATTATTATCAAATTTATTAACCTGTGACGTATTCGCAGCGGGCTCATCTAAAGAAATGAACGAGAGAGAAAAAGAAATCCAAGCATTAATTTCATGTTATTCGCATAATTTAATTTGAGAGATAATGCTAAATGATATATCCATGATTTCCTTGCTTTAAACGTATATTTCTGCACCATTTTAAGCCAAATGGCTGAGGCTAACCGCTAACAACCCGTTTTGGCCGCAGGAAAGCAACTGTTTATTCCTGCCGGCAGCGAACTTGGCCGCGTTTCCTCTGTAATTAAATATTTACTTCCAGCTAATATGTATTCCCTTTAGGGGTGTGAATAATTGAAATGCACTTGCTGTTGGCCTTTGGATTTCCCATGACATTTCCCCCAAATAAAACTCAAACCCCTTATTATATTAATATTTCAGCTCTCAATCTTATCTTCAATGCGAGCATTCCACAGATACTCAGCGCTCATTTTCCCGAGGAAATGGCGATCAATCCAGCAGAGCTGCAGGTGAATCACAAATCGCCAAATTCCCATTGAAAATCAATTTCCGCGACACTGTGAACGTGTCAACATCGCATCGATAAAGCATAATGACAGAAATATTTCGAGTGTTTTTATTTTTTTGTGTTGCCCCTTGTTTCTTTTATCAACTTTCTATTTTGAATCCCCGGCGACGACAACAAATTGAATTTAGTTAAGGTTAAGCCCCACCTGTTGCACACACATATACCACAAAAAAAAATTGAAAAAGAAATATAACAAGCCAGACGACGGCAGCCGAACAAAAAAAAAAAAAATACAGCGAAAATGGTACGAAAATCCAAGAGAGGTGACAAGTGAAGTGTAATGACTGTTGCTGTCGCTGCCTCTGTGGTCGTTGTTGTTGTTGTTGTGGTGGGGGCTACCTTATCACAGAGCTTGCACACATGGAATTCAGAATGTGTGACAACAGTGCGTGTCAGTGATATATAGCCCTAGGACTAAATAAGTTAGTTAGTTAAATTCGTTACGTTACATTTGTCAACTAATTTGACACTAGCAAAGCTAGAACCATTTGAGAATTCTAATAATAATCCTCAAGTTTTAATTAAAATGCATAAAAATTTATATTTTCTAATAATAAAAAAACTAAACTATAACAATTGTTCCTAATACAAACTATATTTTATGAACCTTTTGGGGATTTTAAAGTTTCTAAAGATTAAGCCCTAATCTGTAGTTAAAATGTCTAACAATACAATATTAATAATACAAAATACACGATGTTTGGTGGATTTCAATATTTTCAAACGAATTTTATTTCTTCAGTTAAATATTTTTAAAATATCGGCGACACATTTTTTAATTTAAACCTTCTGCTTTCAGTCTTCTTTAGTCCTAAGATTATGTGTCTCACTGTTTGTGTATATATTATATGAATAGCTTGTCGGGCGATTAGTAAGCCCGGGCAGTTCTCAAATCACAATCACATACACAGACGATCAACGGCAGGCTGAAAAACTCACTGGCAACCGAGTTGGGTCGCGTTAATTGACTCGACTGCGACTGTTTAGCATTCAGCGTTATTATTATACACATTATACGGCTTTATACGATCGCAGCGACTATCGTCTCGCCCCAGTGTTTACTCAATTCGTTATCAGCAGTTATAGGGCTTTCGAGCCGTGCGACCGCAAAAATAAAAAAAAAAAGAATTGCCTAAAAGTTCCATTGATAATGCCAAGCTGTACATATGTACAGCTGAAAATAGTGGGTATAATATATTTCGGTTAAGTATCTGTGTGTGTGTGTGTGTGTGTGTGTGTGTGTGTTTGCCAGATTCATTATCATTATCAGTTATCAGTGGGGGACTATCGTGCGCCTGAGTCAGAAACAAAGCCCCCGATAAGCGATCCCCACTGTAACCAAAGTGATTGGGAATTCGCCGGACTGCAGACGCTTTGACGTCAGTTATCCGATATATGTACATATACTATATACATGTATTTATTTAGCTGTCAGATTGTCAGCTTATTGGGCAATTAAGTGGCATTCGTCGACGGCGCTGCTGTTGCTGCTGCTGTTGGCGATTAGCTGCTCGGGGATCCAAATCCTAATTACATAATCACGTGTAGGAAATATGTGTATGTACTTAACTTATTAATAAACGAATGAGTAGGTCAATTACAAGGCGCCAACTGCGCCACAATTGAAATATTTGCTGCGGAGCGACGACTAGTTAGGCGATTACATGGAATTTCTGAGAAGTGGGCGGGGGGGGGATCAGCAGTTTGTTTGTTGCTAATAAAAACAAAAGCGGAACAGAATAGCAAAAACAGGCACAATTGTCTGTTAAGAAGTGTCAAAGGCAAATGTTGACTAAATAAACATGACACTTACTTGTAGAAAAGTATCTTAACCTACGTTCTAAATAAATTTAATAAATTCAGAGGATAAAATAAGCCCATGAACCCCAAATTAAAAAATATTTTGATATTTTTGTGGAATTACATTTTTGAGTATACATTTTAATAGATTTAGTAATAAACATTAAACCACTTTGCATTCCCAAGTAGTATACAAAATAGCAATTTAGGAAGACCAGCTGTACACCAGCTAGAACCTCAACTAAATGACTCGACAAACTAAAGCCACCAACAGTCACAACAATATAATAAAATCAAGCTAGAGCACTGCAGATAAGCTAATCAGAATGAGGAGCTTTTAAAGACCACAGCAGCAATTAAAACCAGAAGACTCCTATTCCAAGATACCCTCACACAGTACACAGAGAACAAAGTGCAAATATACTTCAAATGTGCTAGTGACGTTTCTCAAGATCTTTCTTTTACATCACTCGGCTATTTTCCTAAAGTAAATCCATTTGGCATAGCCGTGAAGTAAATATTTAAATGACATTTTCCTTATCACGAATTTTCGTTTAACGATTTCAGTTCTAATTACGCTAGTTTGCCAGCATTTCCAGGCGTGAAAATATCAAGTAAACGTGAAACACATGGGGAATGCTTTTTCTATATGCACAAACTGAATAATTTGCATTCTCATTTACATGAAATTTTTTATTGAGCCAGTCAGGCGAAAAACAATTGCCCCTGTTCAAAGTGCAATAACTAAAGCTATAGCAAATTATCAAGCAGTGATGTGAGGGTGCACTGAAAATATTTCGGGCATTGTTGTATCGAAATCTTTATACATAAGTACAAACATAGTTTTGTGAAGGGAAAGCTTTTGGAAACTCACAACTTAAAAATTTGCAGCATGACAACAAAAGGACATTTAGTAAATACGTATAGGTTTTGTGTTTATAATTCTGATATTGATGTATGTTTTAATATTTATTATTATTTATTTTAGTTAGAAACAGTTAAGTTATCTTATTTTTCCAAGTGTATAAAGGCCTGCTTGGGGTTGATAAGTTGACGCAAATATTGGGCACACGCTATCGCCTACGTCACAAGTGCATTTCGCGATTGACTGAGTGACTGACTGAATAAAACAAAAATACATTAAAATGAGAAGAAACACAAGCAAAAATTATAAAAACACCCACACACACAAGCTTACAGAGAGCAAAACGAATGAGAGCTACAATAAACGAGGTGCGGCACAAAAACGGCGCCACAAAGTCCACACAACTGTCCGCCAGTCAGTCGTTTCGTCTGTCCGTTCGCCATTCCGTCATTCCCCACGTGACGACGTCATCCCATTGCAAAAAGCAAAAAGCACTGAGTACACTCGCCCACTTAGCAATTGTTTATAATTTATTAGCACGCAGCGCTTTACAGCGGTGCGCAAGTGATACGTCAAATTCGCGGAAAAGATTCAGAAATTCCAGCGAACAACGAATGCCCGATAAAAGTTACCGAAAGAGAGTAGAAAATCACAAACGGGGAGCAACGGTGAACGGTGAACACAAAATGAGAGGGAGACGTACCCAAGTTTAATTGTGACTACACGCATCCCACTGTATTTGTCTGTCCCGCTCATTTGCATTGCAAGCGGGTATTGACGCACTGCCGTTACTGTCGTATTGATATTAGCGAATCACAGCCGAACGCAACAATTGAAAATGCACGACGAGAAAAAAAGGCTCGCGGGCGAAGGAAAGAGCGAAGAATCGAAAAAGCGGCTATCGAACCGACGCGCCTGAAACATTTAAGGCAACTAGACGAGGCGACCAGCGAAATTCATTCAGAGCGTGTGTGCTCGGTGTGTTAGTACGGTGTGTGCTGTGTGTGTGCGAAAAGAAAACGAAGAAGCGACCGAGCGGGGCAAAAACAACAAGTAAGAACGATAGAGCCGGGGACGACTCGACTCTTAAATACCCGGTAAAAACGCGATTCTAATATCACTGCATACTTTTTGGCACTGTAAAACTATCTGAACTATTTGTACGATAACTCAATCAAGAGATCAGATGGATCAATTAATGTAAGAGGTCTGTTGAGATGAACAAATTGTAGATTCTATAATTTATTTTTAGTAGTTTGTATTTGTAAGGCTCTAGCTTTTATATTGTAGGTCCTGAAATTTGTTGTTTTGGTTTTATGTAGGTCTAAGAGATGTAACACTTAAACAAAAAATATCTTACGTGTGCAAAAATATCTTTAAACTGCGTGGGATACCTTTAAGTTTCGTCTCTTATTAGGTATTAAAAAACCGCAACGTCAGCGCAGGCAGCGTAAAAGTAAAAATACAAAAAATAAAACGTACAATAATCAAATAATTGCGGCAGCTTCGACGTCGCCACCCCCCGCACACACACTCATACTACCAAGCCCCACACACCGTCTTATTCGCAAAGCCTCCCCGCACACACAGTTGCAATTGTCAATCAAAAGTAAGCACAGGGTCGCTGCTTCTTCTTCATCTTCTTGCTGCTTTTGATTTTGCGGCAGCGCGAACTGCGAAATGATCAAATCAAGCAAAAATAAAAATAAAGAGAAAAAAAACATGAATAAAACGTAGCCACCAACAACAGGTGACGCGAAGTACGAAGCGAAATGAAATGAAACGAAACGAAAGACTGTCGCCAGCCAGTCAGA